AGGTTGTCTCTGTCCCCATCCCCTGCCTCTACATCTGGAAAACAGGAGTGTGGTGCGTGCTGTGTTGCTGTCCTCAGTCTGCTCTGTAGAGAAGTTCACTTACACCTGCCTTAGGTTACTTCATGATTCACATGTGGAGTTGGCGTTTGAGAAAGCTGCAATGGGACGTTTCCAGTTTGCAGGTGGGGTCGATGCGTGCAAGTTTATCTTTCAAGGCTCTTTCAGTTGCTCCCAGTGACCGGATTTTTCCACATGGGTGAACCTGCCCACGCACCCTCTGCTGCACTTACCCCTGGGGTGCACCTCCCATCGCCCAGCTGCAGCTCCGTGCTGCAAGGTGCCCTGCCCTTCCTGGTGTTACTGCAGTCATCCTTGGTGTGCCCGGACCGCGGGACTGCGTGCAGAGTGGAGTCCAGCCCTGCTGCTGAATGAGCAGCTCCCAGGCTGCCGGAGACGAGCGCGTTGTGGCAGTTGGCAGACGGCTCCCGGCACTGCAGCGGAGGAAGGACACTGCTAAGTCATGAAGGAGCCAAACGAGAAAGGTGCATCACAAGATCACTAGGATGCTTTGGGTTTTTTGCCAAAAAAGCGACGATTAAACTTCCATCGTCTTGCGGACACCGCCACTGATTCCCCAGGGAGGGGGAGAGTTCCCTCAAGATAGACAGGGATGCACAGGAAAGGATCCTGTCTTCGTGCAGAAGCCTTGGAGCACCTCCTGAATGACAGATGGCTGCAGAAACCCTGGCAGACAGGCAGCCCAACGCTGTCCCAGTGGGGATCACAGCATCTTCCAGTAAGTTTAAGAAACTTATGTTATTCCTGGTAACCGACTCACTGCTCCTGTTTGGAGTGGGTAGAAATGAAACCTGCCTTGGTGGTGTAGCCCTCTTCCACATGCACAGAGGCTCCTGTATGGTCTATTTTAAGTTCACTGATGATGTTTTCCTCAGGATCTGGTACCCAAACCAGGTCTATTTTTCATTATTCTTAACACACCCGCTCTCCCGCCCCCGGTTAGCCGCACGCTGGCAGTGACAGCTTCTCCATCAGAGTGAGCTGGAGAGTTGGTAGCTCTGAAATACAAAAAAAGTTCTAATATTTGCTCTAGACTCCGTTCCCTCACCTCCTCCTTGCCCTGTTGGTGCCTCAGGGTTTTCAGGAGGAAAGCGCATTGTGATGCAGATGTGGTTGTTGAAACAGCAGATACAGAAAGTGGAAAATACAAAACGTAAAGCACTTTGCTTCGCAGCTTGAGCAGTGCCCTGAGCTTCCAGCACTGTTAGCTATTCGGGACGAGCGCTTCCCCGAGCGAGGCATGCCGGTTATTAACCAGGCTCCTGCTGAGGTCCTATTTTTCCAGTCCATCATCGAGCTATGCCTAGAGGAGGGATCTTCTTAAAAAGGAAAGGTAAGGCAGAAAATCCGTTACTGTCTTCAAGCTCTTTCCCAAGTGGTCAGAGTCTGTGGGAATGATACCTAAAAGCTGAGAGAGAAGTCAGGATTTTTTTTTTTAATTGTTTCCATGGAGACTGAAATTATTACAGCGATTTTCTGCTTGGCTTTTCAGCTCCTGAACCTGGTGCCTTCCCTGTTCCTGGGCACTGCAGGTGTGCCCCCTCCCCGGGATCAGCCCTGGGCTCTCATGTGCGGATGAGCGGAGATGGAGTGTGTGGGCCACCAGCCATGCCCCGCAGGAGAAGTGAGACCGTCTGGGAGGAGACAGCACCTTTTGAAGGCAGAAGAAGAGAGAAGCACGTTGTGCTTCGGCTGACCAGACAAATGCAGAAATAGCTTCTGGCTGAAAGCACAGAACTGAGTAGCTGTGCAGCAGTAGGCTCTTTCTTCACTGGTTTACTGCTCTAAATAAATGCAGAATCTTGGTAATGTTTGTGAAGACTTGAATAAATATCTTGTACTCACTTGTTAATGACATGGATCTCACTGGCTTTGTTTAGGTACTCTGTTTCTACTGAGTTTTGCTGTGATTTATTCTGCTGTATTTAATAAAGGGATTTTTCTTATTTGTAGTACTTGATCAGTATAATAATTATTGGCAAAGATCAGCATAGGCTTATAAATTTGAACCTATGCTATTCATGTAATGAAATGTCATCTCATAACATTTTAGAACGTCCATAATAAATAGTAATTCCAACCTCTCAGCTCAAGACCTCAGAGTCACGGCTGTTCCTGGCTCCGGGATCGTGCCGGACAGGCTGCAGGGCTGACTCCTCTCCCTGCTCACTCCTTGGAGGCACTTTGTTCCTGTCTTGGGTGCACAAACCACCATGAGACAGGTTGCGCTCAGCTGTCTTCCACCTTTCTTGGGTACCATCGTCTTCGTTCCGATAGCACGTCCCACTGTGTATTGTTAAACAGCTGCTGCCTTTATCCGAGTGTCCGGCAAAGCGCTTCCGAGAAAGCAGAGAGGCTGATGTGGATCCTGGTGTCAGCTCTGTCCCGTGCAGCCCCTGACCAAACACCCCCTTACAAGCTGAAGAAAAACCTCTCCTGCTTAAAAAGATAAAGAAAACCTTCACATCACAGACATCATGATTAATGAACCTTCTGGATCAGTTATTGCTTCCTGGGCTGGACGTGACCTTTTGGGAGGCGAAGCCAGGCTGCCCCTGTGCCAAGAGCTTGGATGTTGGTGCCCTGCCATGGCCTTGGGACATGGGTGCATGGGACAGTGGCCTTTCTCCTGCAGCCTGTGACTTGGCCGTCTCCTCCGCTTGTTATTTTACGGAAAATGGAAATTGTCATTTATTTCCCTGCAGCGGAGACTTTAGGTTTTCTTATCTGGTGCTTTTTAATCTGTCATTTTGTTTTATCTAGCAAAGGTTAATTTTATATTCTTCCCTCACTCTGCTTTTCTTTCTTCTGTCAGCAAGTTCTTTGTTGTTGTTATTTCCTGAAACGAGCCACCAGTGCTGAGCCGTAATAGCTGCGTTAGCAACTGTACCTCTGTTGCTGGCTGTGTGATACCGTAGGACCTGTATGAATTTGCCACTTTGGATTTAAAAATTTATAGGAGATACCCAGCTGCTGTGAGGGGCTCCTGTTGCTGAGATGTTTCTCTGAGTGTGAATGCCTTTATTTTCAATAACTATTCCTAGGCAGATTATACCAAGCTTATGCTGTAGAATTCTTTGACAGCATCCCTTGATATTTCAGCAGCTAGTAGAGCACCATAATCCTGAGGATATTTTGCAGTTTGTTTTCTCTTTAATCTGTTCTCTTTGTTGCTGAGAGCAGGAAATAGATTGTGTAGCTCTTAGCCTTGATAACGTCAGGGTAACGTCCATCTTATTTGATCCGAAACCATTAAGCGTTGAAGGAAGACAGAGGGAAAATAACAGAGGGAGGGTGAGCATTGAACCAAATAATTGTGTAAATGCCAACCTAAGACCAGTCTCATCCTCTATGTGATGTCCTTTTGCTGGGAATTAGTGAGATGTATGTTCGAAGTAATGGATTTTTACCAAGGGTGATGGTGGGGAAAAAGATGAGTAAAGCATACATACATAAAATATAAAGCACATTGGGTAGGTACCACTTAAAAGGCAGCCTTGCTTTTTCAAATTAATGGACCTTGTCAGCTGAAATACAGTATATATTGAAAACCCTTGAGAGCTGAAGATTTTTTTTCATATGCACTCTTCCCCTCAACTTCATTTTAAGACTGATTTTAATTATTTTCTTGGGAACGGCAGTCTAATTTGATGCCTCTTTTTGGTCACACGCTAGCCCAGCAGAAGTCAGTGATTTATTTGTCATGGGAAGGGGAGCAGCCCCTCCACTTGGGCTGCAGATCGCAGCTGGCCAGCACTTGCTTTGGGTTGTCCTGAGCCCCTGGCACGTGGTGGAAGCTTCGGAAGGTTCTTGAGCTGTTCCTTGCCTCGTGCAGTGAAGTCACTACTGAAACCAAACAGCAGCCTTCATTTTTCAGTGCTGAGATAAACAGCTGCCCAAGGAGATAGACAAAGGCCAATTGACTCACAGCTCTTTCTCAAAGGAGTTGGTGATTTATTGCTGTATCATACAAATATTTAATACAGGATGAGAACGGTTTCAGTGTGAGGAGTTCGTCTAAATGCAGTGGGACTGCCTGGGCATGGTTACAGCTGTTGAGCATGGGTGAAAATGGCTTTTGGCAAACAAAAGTCAACTAAAAGTGCAGATTTTTGAGCAACTCTTGAAAAATCTGCGCTGCGCTCTGAAGCTCTATAAAGCTTCAGATAGAGGAGCCTGGGTCTGCGTGGGCTCAGGGCTGCGTGGATTCCTTACATCAGGATTTGCAGGTTGTGCCGAGTTGTTGGCCACCACAGAAGACATTAAGCAAGTTATCCTTAATAGCAGTGATGCTGTTTTTGTTTTGCACTCGACTGCAGTCACGCATTTGTTCTTGTGTAGGTTTCCTCTCAGGGATATTTGCCCAGGGAGGTGGTTGAGTCCCCATCCCTGGATGTGTTTAAGAATAGGGTGGATGAACTACTTAGGGATATGGTTTAATGGGGATTAGGGATGGTTGGACTCGATGATCTCTAAGGTCCTTTCCAACCTAGAAATCTATGAATGAATATGCAGGAGAATTCACCTGCAAAATACCCAGTCCCCACCTGGCTGGTGACATTTTCTTCGTGCAGTAGAAGCAGCCCGTGCTCCGCTGTGCGTGGCACAAAGCCGACACAGACGTGAGGAAGCACGTTGTGGAGCAAAGGGGCACCACTGTGCCAGGCTGGAAAATTACAAATCCACCCAAACCAGGCGTGGAGACTGCTTTGAAGCCACTTCTCCCCCATGCAAATAAATCACTGACATCCAGCAGTGAATGGAGCACTGAGCCCTTCTTTTCTTTAATTGTCTCTGAGAGGCGAAGCAGTTGGGAATTTGCAGGAATCACCCAGCTCAAAGGATAAAGGGGAGGGGGAAGCATGGCAGAGCAGCGTGTAGGAGCACCGTGCTGCGTGATTGATGGTGATTTCTTATTGCAGTTTCCTGCTTTTTCAACTTCACCACCCCATCTGGGATTGTGCTGTCACCAAATTACCCTGAAGAATACGGAAGCAGCTTGCACTGTGTTTGGTTAATCATAGCTAAACCTGAGAGCCGAATTCACTTGGCTTTCAATGATTTTGATGTGGAGCCTCAGTTTGATTTCCTAGCCGTGAAGGATGGTGGGACTGCCGAGTCTCCGGTGCTGGGGACCTTCTCAGGAAACCAGATCCCCTCCTCTCTGACCAGCAGCGGTCACGTAGCCAGGCTGGAGTTCCAGACCGACCACTCCATGGAGAAGAGAGGCTTCAACATAACCTTCACCAGTAAGTGCTCCGTTCTTGCTTCTGGTTTTCATTTCAAGCTCTGAATTCTTGTTGGGGATTAACAGGCAAGAGTTTGATCTCACTAAAACTATTGCAAATCCAGAGTAAGTCTGAAACCTGAAGATTACTTCAGATTGGCAGTCGGGTGATCGAGGATTGGTTTCAAGCTTAGAGCTGGTGGCACAAGTTCTTTCTGGCGGTGAAGTTTAAATGTTGTCCAGTGGTGAAAGAAGCAGTTTGGCCCTGGATTATCTGTCCACGGAGGAGCCAGGGCTTCTCTTCTCCCTTCAGCTTGCTGCGTTACGTGGGCTCTCTGCTCTCCCCCTCTGTGCCTCCCTTCTGCTCACTGGGGTGAGACGATAGACGCTGCTTTGTGGACGGCTCGATGCAGATCAGGAAGAGCCAGTAGAACTCAGATGGTTGTGTTCATCAGTCGGTGCTGTCATCACATGCTGACACCTGAAAGCATGCAGGACTCTGAAGATAAAGGAAAACTTGTAGCAATGTCTTACGATATAAAGCATTGAAACTTGTACAGATGTATTTGGCTTCATGTAAGTCCAGTCTTCAAATCTCAAATGAATGCTACGGTAATTTTATCCTCGTATTGTCCTATAATTTTCTAAAGAGCATTATTAAACCTATCCAGCAGAACTGATAAATGACTTTGTTATAATAGCCTTTAGTGGCACAGCTAAATTAATAGCCTTTCTAGCTATGATTGCAAATCCTCTATTTAAAAAATAAAAATCAGAGGTCTTAAGAAATCATTTGCCACACTACAGCAGGCTGAAGGCTCATCAGATGAAGTAGTACCACACAGCCAGGATCGAGTCCTAGACCGTGTAAGTAGGGAGACACCTCGTCCAGAAGCACCGGCGGTGCCCTCCAGTGCATATCTCCAGCGCATCGCATACCCGTGTTGGGAGCTGTGGCTGTCCCCTCTATGAAGATGTTTTTTAAGCAAATTTTTCATTGTTGTAAATTACTCTTAAGTACACGTGGGTTAATCTGTTCTGACTACTTGAGCTGCCGAAAGGGAGCTCCTGAGCCTTTCTCAGAGACCTTGCCATCCTTCCCTTCAGCGTAGGTATGAGACAGGAGACAACATAGTGCTGCAAGGGATGGGTACAGGAGCACAAGGGACAGGTTCAGCCTGTGTTTTCCCCTTCAGTGGTGTATGGAACAAGATATTATAAAAGCAGCGATGCTCTGTAGGAAATCCAGAACTCCATCTGAATTTGGTCAAGTGCACGAAAGATACTAAGAGCATGTGTGTGTAATTAACCTGGAGGCTTTAATCTTTCATACGCTGCTCATCTCTGAAGACCACCTCCCAGCGTATGAAGGTATAGTACATAATTATGCACTTCATAGGGAGCTAAGGCTATAGACTGGCTTTCTAATTGGTTGGCTGGCCTAGTTTTTAGCTGCTGGAAAAGGGCAGGGCTTTAAACAGAGCTGTGTGTCCGTGCAGTTCTGTAGGCAACTTTGCAACACCTAGAAAGGTAATTGCTGCGTGTCCTTCGTTTTAGCCTAGTGACGATGACGAGCAAGGTTGGGGACTACATGGCAGTCAATCACAGAACATGCTGAGACACCCCTTGCTTTTAACCACAGGGCATTAAAACTTTCACTTTTTCTTATTAATGACTAACTTCTCTCCCTTCTATGCGGATGCATGCATGGTGGTATTTTTAGACTTTCAAATAATCTTTCTCTATTTTGGGTATTTGTACATGTGAGAGATTTCTGAGATGATAATTGAGGTCTGCAGGCTCTTTTCTGGCCCCTGTGTCTTAGCACCTCTTGGATGCAAATGGTTTTAGTCTCATCCTTCCTCTCTGGGTTTGCAAATGAAGGCTTGCAGTAGAGACAGGGAACGGAAAAATCTAAGTGACTTCAACTGGACGAAAAGTTGAACAGTGCAAAGAAATACTTGGGTGACTTAGCAGTTTAGAGAAGAGGTGGTGACATGATTTCTGCCACAGACTGACTTGTCCATGTGGAACACAGTAGCTTTGCTGGGCCAAGTTCAAGTCTGTGCTATTTGGCCTCCTCTGCGAGGAAGGTTTGCTGTGCAGGGGCAAGATCCACTGCTGTCGTCACCGTAGGAAAGATGTGAAATTATTGTTTAATTTCTGAGTTTGTAGCCCAGCACACTTTTTAATTGGACAGAGGTGAGGGAAACAAGGCACTGACTGTTCTCTTGTCTTTCCCTCTTAGCGTTCAGGCATAACGAGTGCCCTGACCCTGGCGTGCCTGTCAATGGAAAGCGGTTTGGCGACAGCCTCCAGCTCGGCAGCTCGGTGTCCTTCCTGTGCGACGAGGGCTTCATTAGGACCCACGGCTCGGAAACCATCACCTGCATCTTGAAGGAAGGAAACGTGGTCTGGAACAACGCCGTGCTCAGATGTGAAGGTATGTTTTATCCCCTTTCCTGCTAGTCTGTACATGCACCTGGAGAGAGAATGATCCCTTTGGTGTTTGCAGCCTTTCAGGAGAAAGGATAATAGCTCTGTCTGGCAGGGTCCTCGTCAGATAACCCATAGTGAAGGTTTATGGTGCTGACCTTGGGGGAGGCCTTTTGCCATTGTAGGCAGAGGCGTTTGTTGTTCAGATCTGAAGAACTATTGGACTTCAGTTCTAACCCTCAGCTGCTCAGTTATGGCCATGATTTTACATGGCTCTGGAAGGTGGTGTCTGCACAGATGATTTTGCTTAGGAGGAAGTGTCAGTCAAATAATCATGGAGCACTGAACTCAGTTTGTTTTCTAATTTTTTGTGAAATGAATGACAGGGATTGTTTCTGTTAGCTCAGTTCTTGTTACAACAGGTATTTTTGTAATAATAATAAAAGGTTTTGATTTACTGATGACTGAAACTAAAAAAAAAAATGTTGGGAAAGAAAGAGACCTAAAAAAAGAAATTAAAGATGGGTAGAAGTCCTGACAGGAAATGACGTAGCTTGGGAGCAGCGAGGAGCCTCTTGTTCAAAAATAGTTAGGATCCAGTTGAGATCAATTGACTTTCATCTAGTGTCCTTCAGATGAGCAGTGAAGGTTTTAGGCCCAGACTTAGATAGGTATTTAAGGTTATATCAAGTGTGACCTCTTGTAGCCCTTGCCCAAAGCTCACACCACAGTTGCTCCTGGGTTGGTGCTTCAGGGTCTGCTTGGTCCATGAGGACTCAACTGGCAGTGGGTATCATGGGACAATGGGCTTGGACAGCCTGTGGGAGCTCCCAAAGAGTGGAGTTGACAGTAATGTGGTCAAGCACCAGTGTCTTGACTCAGTGGGACATGAAGAAACACCTGGTGATGAATCCTGCAGAGTGCTGAGCAGGGAGAACACAAACTCATAGGAACAGGCACACTTTTCCATCCTGTTTGATTTTTTTTAGAGGACAATATGTTGCAGTTATTTAGGGCTATAGGATTTTGTACCTCTGGTCCATCAGATCTGGTGTCCTTTTTCTAGAAACAATAATAACGTGTCTTCAGCTTCTGCTGATGGCACACGGGACCACATTGTGGAATAAATGCCACAGTCTTGTGGTGTCCCTTGCAGTAGAAAAGACATGACTCAGTTACCACAGATATGAAAGATTTTCTGGCACCTGCAGCTACTGAAATGCAAACTGACCTTGCAGTTTTCTCAGGTTTTATATCTAATATTATTATACCCTGTCCCCTTAGAGCTGCTGCACAAGGTCAGGCTGCTGACTCCTACGGATACAGGAGCAGGCTGGTATGTCTTCGGTTTAAGCTGAAAAAGCAATTTCTTACCAGCCAGTGGCGTTATTTCATCTGGTTCTGATTATTTTTAACCCATGAGAAACAATAACACATGAAAGCTGTTGCCTGGCAGGACAATACTGCCTGGCAGGGAGGGGTACATCCGAACGTCCTACAGCTTCCATGATGCTCTTCCCCCAAATCGTGTCGTTTTCTCTGTCCCCAGCGCCGTGCGGGGGGCACCTGACGTCACCCAGCGGAACCATCCTGTCCCCGGGCTGGCCCGGCTTCTACAAGGACTCCCTGAGCTGCGCGTGGGTCATCGAGGCGCAGCCGGGCTACCCCATCAAGATCACCTTTGACAGGTGCTCGCCACGGACTTCTCAAAAGTTTCCTCTTTGCGGTTGTTTTTGGTGGTTCCAGCAGTTGTGGCCACCTCCCGAGCAAAAGGGAGTGAACTGCTCAGCGGTGTTTGGCACTGAGGTTCTCTCTCTTTTCTCTCTTTTTTTATTTGAATTAACTCCTGACAAGACATTAAAACGCACCTGACATTCAAGAAGAAAAGGTGGAAAATGGTGATTTTTCCCATCTTGTTTTGCCTGGCCGCTGTTGATTTGCAGTGCTGTTTTAGACCCGTGTAGGACACGTTTTTGGAGGCTGAGCTCCCACGTGCTCAGCGTGCCGGGGGGAGGCAGCAGTGGGGATCTGGCCCCTTGACTTGCCCTGGATTTCACTGTTTGGGGAGGGCTGTGCTTTCCCCAGCGTGGCTCCGTGTGTCCGAGGGGTGGTTGTTCGTGCAGCATAAGGTGCTTGTTGCTGCACAGAGTGTTTGGTGTCAGCAGATGAAGCAGGTGAAGGATCAGAAAGAAACCAAAATGTGTAGGAGGGGAACGACGTGTTCCCAGTAAGATGCTCAGCCAGCCCAAGGTCAGGATGGACCCACGTATCGCCCGTGGGCTGTGCTGCCTTCTAGTCATTAGAGCACATTCAGGGCTGCGATAAAGGAAAATCAGCCCTGCTGGTTTTCCACAGACGTGTTCTTGCCTCTTTCAGATTTAAGACCGAGGTGAATTATGACACCCTGGAAGTGCGAGATGGCCGGTCCTATTCTTCCCCGTTGATAGGTGTCTATGATGGGACTCAGGTGCCCCAGTTCCTCATCAGCACCAGCAACTACCTCTACCTCCTCTTCACCACTGACAAAAGCCACTCTGACATAGGCTTTCAGATCCGATACGAGAGTAAGTGCGAGTTATCCGTGTAATTACGCGCTCTCCAGCAGCACAATGGACTCAATCAGAGGCCCCTTGGGCTCGCTCATCCCCTTTGCCAGCAGTAGCACTCTTACAGTGATGGGAGAACGTGCAACTACTGCCAGTGAAGGAGCAGTTTCTGCTTTTTGGCCGTCTGGGTTGTTCAGAGATTTTTCTATTTTAGCATCTACAGCATATTATTGATTTTAGGAGGCAGAGTCGAGTTCTGCTGTTTCATCCTCGTACTTTGGGGATGGTCAGTAAGACTTGGGATGAGCTCGTAGGAGGAGTTGCACGTTCCCCCGGGCTAATGGGTGCCCCTTGCAGCCAGCTCTGCCACCGCTGGGTGCTCTGACATGGGTGGGTTTGTTTCCTACAGCTGTGAAGCTCCAGTCAGACCACTGCTTGGATCCGGGCATCCCCGTGAACGGCCAGCGCCACGGGAACGACTTCTACGTGGGAGCTCTGGTGACGTTCAGCTGCGATTCGGGCTACACCCTGAGTGACAGCGAAGCCCTGGAGTGCGAGCCCAACTTCCAGTGGAGCCGGCCGCTGCCCAGCTGTGAGGGTAAGGAGCGCAGAAGGTGACATCTGCAGGAGGTGGCCAACGCTTCATCGCAGATCTGCTGCAAAAGCAAAGCACCAGTTGTGAAGTTCACAGTGACGTTTGCTCTGTGTGTTTTGTTTGATTCTGATGGATTGGGCTTGGTTTTGACATTGAGAACTGATATTCTTCCAGCTGACAATGGGGTTTGAATTATTTAATTCTTTCTTTTTTTTTTTTTTTTTTCCTTTTTTTAGCTCTGTGTGGAGGTTACATTCGTGGTTCCAGTGGTACCATCTTATCCCCAGGCTTCCCTGACTTTTATCCAAATAACTTGAACTGCACATGGACAATAGAAACATCACACGGAAAAGGTGAGAAACCTTTAGCTTAGAGTGGTTTTAGAGACGGGCTGGAGGACAGTGGTCAGTGGGAGACAAGCGCTCCCTGCATAAACCAAGAGCTTGTCTCTCTCTGTAATGGTGGGGTACCCGTGTGCTTGGCCAGTTGCCATTCTTGCCACCACCCAAACAGTGTCTCTGAACAAGATGCAGAGGTTTTTGCTGTCACATCTCTTAATCCTTTTGAAGTGGAGAGGATTAAGAGGGAAAGAAGGTCCCATATCAAACCCTCAGACTGGAGAGCCTGGGCTGGACGTTCTCTTCGGTTTCAGACCTTTGTGGCAGTGTCCTCTGGAAAGACAGCTGGGAGCTGGATACCTGGCACTGCTGGTAGTGCCACGCAGAGGAAAGGGGAGCTGCCACTGACACTGCTGCAGTGATGTTTGGTACTCAACAGTACTTCTCAGCCTTGTTTTCCTTTGTAGTGCTGCATCACTATATGACGTTTTACAGATGGAGAAGTGAAAGCACGTAGTAAGTCGTTTCCAGACACAGGACAGAACCCAGCTCTGTCCTCCTTCTGCAGCTCTCATTTCCCCACTCGCTGGGAGGAGAAGCGTAGAAGCAAAGTGCAGATCTATTCAGTGCAATCTCCTGTGCAGCACAGGCCAATCTTTTGTCTTGGAGGAAAATTTCAAGAAAATGCATCGTTGATGATTACAGAGCAAGTTTTATGTACAAGGGAGGGAGGTAATTTCTCCTGATCCAGCCAGTATCTGCCTGGGGTAAGCACAAAGGGTATAAACCCTTTACGTAACTTTATGTGCTCTTATATAACCGTCTCGTCGTACTGGATATCAGCGCGACGGGAGCTATCATGAGCCAATTTTGCAAATACCATTTGTATTACAGCAAATAAACTTGTCAATGAGCAGCACAGTGCATTAAGGGAACCATCACATGCTGTGAAAAGTATTCTGTTGAGTAGCAGCAATCCACTCTTCATTAATCCGCTCTGCCTTGGGTTCAGCTCTCCGATGAGACGCGGCATTATCCCGTAGCTAAGCACGGCGCAGCAAACTGATGCTCTTTTATATGAGAAAGTGCAACTCTGGTGGCCTCTCTGCTTTTATGCCAACATCAGAAGACAGTCTTCTGACCAAGCTAAGCAAAGCTTGAAAAAACACGGTACATTTTCAAATAGTGGAGCTATGTCTACACAAGTCCAGGGGCTTTTTGTCCCTTGTCCTGTAAAAGAACCTGCTGTGGCCAATTTAGTAGTACAGGAAGCGGCACGTCCCTTAGAGCCGTTAAAAAGTGATGCTGTTCTGGATCATCCAAAGAATTCAGCCCTGGACCATGTTTATCACACTAGGAGAAGCTGGATATTGAGCTCTTTGGAAATCTGGTCCTAGCTTGAGCAGTCTGAAGCCTGTGAGCTGCTTTGGAAAGTCTAGCCTTGGCTGCAGGTAATGAATATTAGAAAATCAAACGGTCAACTGCTCTGTAAATCCAGCTGGTTGTAGTGAAAATTGATAGGTCTCCGGGCCTTTGACAAGAGTTTCAGCTGCTCTTAGCTATTGGGTTGTGCTCGAAAGGTGAGGGTAACATTCTAAAAAAAGAAGTTGAGTGTTTAAAGTGAGAGACTCCTCTATACCAATGAAAGGAGCATGTTCATATTGTGTTTTGTGTGATATTTTCACCCCTTTCCTTACCCACTGCTGGTATCCTTCCCTCGAGGTTGTCCTCCAGGAGCTCGTTAGGAATGAACTGGAGCGCGGGGTGGGATCCCCCTCCTTGTGCAGGTGCCCTTCTGCCAGGCTCCGTCCTGCGGCTGCCATGCTTCGCCCCTGGGCAGAACCACCCTTCGTGCACTCGTGGAGCTTTCTGGGTGAGGAAAGCTTCACCCGGGGAGCTGCTCGGATGCAGGAAACCTCCAAATCCAGTTAGAGGTTAGAGCAAGAGGAGAAGGGTAGACAGAGGATGTTGTGCAGTTATAATAAGCTCCACGGGGCCAAGTTATGTGTCAGGAAAACCTCTCCTTCCCTGTCCCTGTAGTTCAGGTGAGTTGTTTATTTACTGGTGCAATGAAATGAGGAGACAAACAGGGAAAGACATCCTTCTCTCTACTGGAAGATGTTGAAACATGTTTAGATGCTGGGCTGTGTCGGTGGGAGCGTGCATACACATACATGCTCCTATGTACACATCCTTTATCTTGCAGCAATATTTTGTCTTTCCTAGCAATCTATTTTCCTGGCTGTCGCTGTGTTAAACTGCTGGGGAATGCATTGCAACAAGCTTCTCCCAGCTCTTTTCATCATTCCTGCAACGTTTTCTTCTCGTTCTTCAGTAAAGAGCAGTGGAACAGGGTGATCCTGAGTCAGAGCAGTAGCCACTGAAATGGAATTAATTCAGTCCTTGGAGAACAGAGCAGCCTTTAAAAAACCAAAAGCATAGCTGAACCCCGTTCCCAGCTAACCCCATCAGCAGCGTGCGTGCAGCGCCGAGCCTGCTCTCCGTGCCTCGTCCTTGTCCTTCAGCTCCCTCTTGGTGCAGACCACTGGGTGAATCGGTGGTCACTGGGTAAACTGGTGCTTGTTAAACCCAGCAGCTGTAACAATCCTGCTGCGAGCAGGACTAAGAAGCAGGGGATATATTTGCATGACTGAGATGTTTGCCGTTGTTCCCAATTTTCTAGTTTTAAGTTTCCCACGTCCGCTTACTACTAATACCTTCTACTTGGGCTTGCAGCGCTGCTGCTGTCCCAGGCTTGGAAAGTCTTTCAGTTCCCAGAAAACAGAGTTCAGGGCTTGTACCTCCCTGCCCGTGGCACCGTTCTCTGCCACGCCAGTGACCGAGCAGGGATGGTTTGGATCGTAAAAGCTGATCTCGAGTTATTTGCTCGCAGATCTTTACGAACATCTCGCACGTGGCCAGCACACGAGTTCCCAAATTGAAACAAGTTGGTCGTTATAGTAGTTATTTTTATGTGACTGCAGGTGCTGATTTACTTTATGGACTCATGAGCTGTACAATTTGAGTTTAAAAGCAGCTTAATTTTAAAGGTATTTAAACGTTTAAAGAGAGACTATTATTTTTAATCGGAGAACTTCAAAGTGATTTCTTTTCCCTATAATTTCTTTTGTTGTTTCTTTTACAGGGAGTGGAAGTAAAAAAACAACCAACCACCTGCATTTGCAGAGAAATTTTGTTCCACAGTAAATTTCAGGCCAGAGCAAAGGTTTAATCAGAGTCGCAAATCCTTTAAAATGAGTTTGTAATTAGCCCTTATTGCTACAGTTGCACAACCCTTAAACGGGCTCTGCTGCTGGAGAGGCCTCGTGCCCTGTGATTAGAGTCGTTATCTTAAAAGAGCTGGAGTCAGGGGCTGTCCTCCTGCTTCTGGGGACTGAATTGTCCTTGTGTTTCTCTGGTGGTGCGTTGATTTTGGTAGAGTGATGTTGTTTCTGTTGCTTAGTTTGGGTTTTGTAAAGGCAAGTGTATAAATTTACTGTCAGTCGATGAGCAGGGAAAACTGAAGACATGTTGTATTCACTGTGTCTCACCAAGTTTCCAGGCCAAAGAGGTCATATCTGTTTTCAATCGACTCTACTGCTGGTAAGAACAGTTAAACATTTGGGAACTGTTAGACGTTTCCTACCTTGGTGGAGATCTGCGGGGCGAGCAGTGGACCTAAAATTTTTCTGCCAGGCTCCATATAATACTTACCTGGATGTAAGAAAGGAAATGTCAAAGTTAAGACCCCTTTTGGTCATCACTCAGCAGTGAGTCACACAAATACTCCTGCCTGGGACACGGAAGGTTAGCGAGGTGCTGTGAGCTGCCTGGCAGGAGTGGAGATGGGCAGAGAACGGGGCAGCCGAGATGACCCTGCGAGCCCTGCGCCTTCCCAGTCCAACAATTGCCATGGGAAAAAGCTTTGGATTGGTTACCAACCTCTCTGTCCTTCATTTCTTGGAAGGAAACTGCTTGCATGTAACCAGTAAACCTTCAAAAAGAAATTGGGTAGACGTAGGGATAAATGGAATATTCAGAGTTATAATTTGATGCTGCTAAAAAACTGTTGGGATGGATATTAAATCTCATGCTCCAGAGCTTTAATCAATCTCTAAGTGGGTCTCATCCTGCTCTCCAGAAGTTAATAGGGAATGGGGAGCAAGGAGGAGATTATTGCTCTGATCTTTATTTACAGGTTTCCTGTGCTTGCTTTTGAAGCAGCCGATGCTGTGCTTTGGCAGAGGTGGGATGCAGAGCAAGATGGCCCCGGGGTCTCCCCGAGCTGGCAGTCTTGGTGGTGTTAATCATCGGCTCAAATGAAATGATGTGGTCGTGCCACTGGGCTTTTTTATGGCCAGGCATGGCTTTAGCGTGCTGACTTTGTGTGGCGGTGATGCGAGAGGGTTGCCGATACCAGACCCTGCCTTGCTTTGCTATCTGAAAGCTGTCACTGCCATTTTTTGTTTTTCAAAGGTGGAATGATTTTCCAGAGAATAAGTGTTTCTAATTGCGTTTGAATTCCAGCGTGAAAAATCACCTCGCAGGAGGCTTTCACAAAAGCCTGAGGTACTTTCTGTTTTGTGTCTGTGGGTGTGAAGGATGCTCCAAGTAATCCATTACTCCTTCCTTGTGCGTTTACAAATGCAGCAAGGTCACAGCCCTCTCCCCAAAATGTTTCAAATTGTTGAAATTGAATTTGGAAGAAGTGACAAAATAGTTTTCCTGTGTTTGTCCTTTTTTTTTTCTGTAGCTGGATCTGTTGTGATTTTTTTATTTTTGTCAGTATAATGTGGATAAAAGTGTTGGATTCTCTTCGCTTCTAAGATGTGCTACAGCTGGCAAGACCCGGACCAACCAGCCTGACTCTGCGTGCCGTGCCGAAATCCACAATAGCTGCACATGAGCTTCCCACTCTGAAGCCTGGGAGGGGAGAGCAGGTCCTGGGAATGGGTCAGAGCAGGGAAGGGGCAACAGCAGCCCCGTCTCGGACAGGGTAGGGCCCTGGGGCACTGCTGGGAGGGAGCGTGGCTGCGTGACACAGCCCTTGCTTGGGACATGGACGTGAATCACAAGCCGTGCGTGGCTGAGGAAGGGGGTTTGTCCATCTGTGATCTCTCCTGTTGCACCCCAGCCTCTGGGACGGCGTTGGGTCCCATCATGGGAGGTCCCTGCAGTCGCGCTGCTGGTACGTCGTGTTGTGGAACAGGCTCCGACCTGATGCTTGGCTTAAGTCCTGTTTTTCTGGGTATGAATTCCTGAACGTAACTTGGAATGAACATAACTTGGTTTTGTTTGTAAGTCCTCACAGCTACAGCTTTTGCTGCTCATCTAAAGGTCAACACTTTTAAAATACAGCACTTCTCTGAGCTGCCAGGCTCAGCCCTTTCTGCTGATGATCCGTCCCTCGAGCGAGCCCGTGTCGTCTCTGTTCCTGTGTTACAAAGGGACAGGGATCGAAGATCTGAGCTGCCTTTCTCTGTTCTAGGCCTTGTACCGTACCTTTGGTTTCCTTTTTTCATCTATTTCATTTCTTTTCAGTGTGCTTTTTCTTCTCAGTTGAGTTGCTGTTTACTGGGAAACAGGCAATCGATACTGGTGTCATCTCGGGGAGAGAAGAAGGGCTTTGGCTCTGGGGTGCAGGGGAGCCGTGTGAACGCTGCTGGCTGAAGCCACCTCTGCTTTTCCTCCCTCGCAGGTGTGTTCTTCACCTTCCATACCTTTCACCTGGAGAATGGCCATGACTACCTCCTCATCACCGAAAACACCAGCTTTGCTCAGCCCCTGAAGCAGCTGACGGGCTCTCGGCTCCCGGCCCCGCTCAGCGCAGGGCTCTTCGGAAACTTCTCGGCTCAAATTCGCTTCATCTCGGACTTCTCCATGTCCTATGAGGGTTTCAACATCACCTTCTCAGGTAAGAACAGGAGTGGACAAAGACTTCCAGAAAGGTTCCAATTCATAGAGTCATAGAATCATGGAATGGTTTGGGTTGGAAGGGACCTCAAAGATCATCTAGTTCCAAACCCCCCTGCCATGGGCAGGGACACCCTCCACTACACCAGGTTGCCCAAAGCCTCATCCAACCTGGCCTTGAACACCTCCAGGAATGGGGCATCCACAACTTCTCTGGGCAGCCTTTTCCAGTACCTCACCACCCTCAATGTAAAGAATTTCTTTCTTATATCTAACCTAAATCTGCCCTCTTTCAGTTTAAATTCACTTTCGCTTTGATAGGAGGGAAAAATGGCTTTTTGCAAAGTACAAGCCTTTTTTTTTTTTTTAAGGCAAAAAGCCATTTTTCCCTTCTATCAAAGCGAAAGTGAATTGGAAAATTACCTCTAATTATAACTATGACTTTCCATGTGCTTGAGGACTTATTTCCTTTCTTGGAAAATGGAAATGGGAGTCAGTTATACTTTTAGCTTCCTTTAGTACATACTTTGTACTTTGCAGGTCTGTTATTTTTCAAAAAATAACCCTCAAAACAGGTTTCTTTCAAAATGTGGTCAAAGATGTATGTTTGGCTATTAGCCATAAGGCTACATGACCTTTCATTTAGCAGCAGCTTAAATGTTCCCTCGCATTCCCCAAGCAGGATGCTGTGTTCATTCATTTTCAGGATTAGTAATGTAGAGGCAGCGGAAATCCCATCCGGATCAATTCATCTTCATTTGACTAAAGCAGAGGCAGAATGACAAATTTCCATCGTGTTTTGTCACCACCGACGTCACTTTCTTGTTCGCCTGACAGCAGGGACAGAAAATGAGACCTTGTTGCATTTGGAGTTGGTTTAAATCAAGGTCCTTGGTGACACCCTGGGGGGTGCCTGCTGAGAGTGAACCCCACGCTGATCTTCGTGGCTCAAACAAGACCTGTATCTTGCGTGGATGCTTCACTGCAGCTTCATCAAAACTCAGTGCCCCCTCCTCATCCGCGTGTTCAGGGACTGGGGTACCCTCGCTGGGGAGGATGGAGTACGAGGTGTCACCCTGCTGTCCTGTAAACATCTGTTTGTTCCCTATAGAATATGATCTGGAGCCCTGCGACGAGCCAGAGGTGCCAGCCTACAGCATCAGAAAGGGGCTGCAGTTCGGAGTGGGGGATGTCCTCACCTTTTCCTGCTTCCCCGGCTACCGGCTGGAGGGTGCATCCCGCATCACCTGCCTCGGGGGGAGACGGCGTGTGTGGAGTTCGCCTCTGCCAAGGTGTGTTGGTAGGTGGTCATGTGCTTTCATTTTGCTTGGTTGGTTACGCTGTGCTGGATTGTCTCGGTGGGCAGGGATGGGTGGCATCCCCCAGGATGGCATCGTTCAGCTCGTGGGGTGGTTGGTGCAGGGATGGGGGGGGAAGAGGGAGCTGGAAGGAGCTTTCAGCCCTGTGACTGGCGTGGGGACGGGAGGGACAGGCAGGAGGGCTGCAGCCCTCTCCCAGTTGGAGTACCCAGTGCCCAGCAGCCCGGGCACATGCACCACCACGCAGCAGCCCCCTGTCCCTGCAGCCCATCCACACGCTGCGGTCGAGCGCCAGGGATCATACACGGGAAGGAATCGTGAGCCATGGGAGAGCTGTCACCCCTTTTGGGACAGTTTGTGTAAAACAGCGTGGGTTTGAGGCTGTCCTCCCTTTGAGTCAGAGTGCTGCAAAGCTCAATAGTCCGGATGGGAAAGCTGCTTCTGGGTGGGTGATCTCAAGCAATGCAAATGCCACGTTAGTATGGATGTCTCTGGGAAATCTCCTCTGGCTTTTACCTTTTCCGTGTCCTACAGAGGTTTCCCTTTCTCTCCTCCTAACCATTGCAAGTCCTCTTTGCCCCCCCTCCAGCCGTTGTTTATACTGATCAATCTGAGGATAGAGGAGAGGAAAACAATTGTCTGCAGCACTGAGCTGGCTCCTGGCTGTCATCCCCGATGCAGATGGGCTACAGACAGCCGTGCCTGGCGAGGGGTGCAGGGCACCCCCTGCCCAGCCCGCTGCACCCTCCAAGCGTAGCCGTTAGCGTAAAAGAAGAAAAGCAGCAATGTGCTACAGCAGGAAAGCAGAAAGGAAGAAGGGATGCTTCAAGCCTTTGTTAAAAAGATTCAACGTATTTTTTTTGTTGTACAGTTTAGTAAGTAGGAAGCTGTTCAGTGCTCTGCTGCTCTTCAGAGCTGTGAAGGATTCATCCAGATCGGGCAGAGCAGGTCTCTGCCTTGTTTTCACTCTGGCAGAGCCTGCCAGGTGGATTTCCCTGATGTGTGTTAGTGGCCTTTGAGGGCCACTGCGAAAAGCATCCCAGGAAGAGCCAGTCTGCTTCCTCAGTCTGAGTCGGGTCCTGCTGGATGCAGTTGCCAGTACTGCTTGATGCTTAGGTCACAGGGTTGCATCATCCTGCTGTGACAAGCAGCTTCTTCAGGGCATGAATAATAATCAGGTTGCAGAGAAAGCTAATCAGGGGAATAAAAATCAGAAAGAATCATAACAAAGCTTTAAACTTGATCCTCAGACATCATCGCTAAGTGGACGCACTGGCTTCCATTTGCTGGTTCCCTGCTGCAGCTGGTGTTGAATTAGCACGTTGGTTTTGTAATAATGGATCAAATTCCCTGTCTGGCGATTTGTGCCGGGCTCTGGTGGCAGCTCTGTCCACAGTGTCCCTGCTGCATGCTCGGATCTGCGAGCCAACCCTGGATATGGATGGATATCAGAGACTTATCCATTAAGATCACAGGAAATTTAATTGTTTTTGCCAGACAACCTGGATGCTTTGTATTCGATTCCTTGTCCAGAGATGAGTCTGGAGAGAAACGGGAGCAGTTTGTTCCTTTGGCCAGGGCAGGAATG